AACCATATCAAAGTTCAGGGAAGTTTAGAATGAGTTCATTGGGAAGGTTTACTGTGACATCATTTCTGTTTCAGAGGGTTCTGTATGCACGATTTACGAGGTGCGAAAGGATGTCCTACTAAATGGAGAGCATCGAATGGAAATGACCTTTTCCTTGTCATTTACGAGGGAGACATGAGACATTGTTTGTAGTTGCCACCTATTCGAGTTTCGAGGGATACTTTGTAGGCATGCATTCACTGTTTTGATCCGTACTGATGTCAAGTTATTATCGGATAAGTTTATATTGCGACAATAGATGAGGGACATTAGTAGAGCACACACGAGGATGGCAGTGTACTATGCTGGGTTGGTCAGTACTCCGGCACAGTTGATGTACAAGGATATGTGTCGGGCATTTTTGGAGGTGGCTGACCTTGCTGCGAATGATGAAAGGTGGAGTTGTGCAGTAATGGAATGTATAAAAGTTCAGGCGAAGGAGCTCAAGTCGAGCAGTGGTACTCATCCCAGTCATGTAATCTCTCACGAAACTGATTCTCAAAAGCATTCGAGCGTCAACATACTAGATCCCATATCATTGAAACGAAAGGGTGCACCAAGGAAATTTTGACGAAAAGGACCATTGGAGTTAACGTCAAAGAAAGCAAAGGTATTTTATTCTATTTCATTACTATTTTAAACTGAGTTCTAACTCTAACTATTCTAATATGAATTTGATGTACTTGCAGGCAAATTTGACATCAGCAAAAGGCAGGAGATTGAAAGGTAGTCATAGTACTGTGGAAGGAGCCGCACCAGATGTTAACGCCTCTGAACGGTATTCATCACTGCCGCCGTTTGCATGTTCGCAGCCCTTTTTCGTATGTATGTTTCTAGGTCGTTGGGTTTAATGTTTTCAGTTCATTAATTTCATTTGCTATGAGCCTTATTTTGGGTGTTACGCCAATATACGGTGACAGTGGAAGTCAACAAGAGTTGCAATGAGCAGCTTATGGATTTCACTTTTGTGCATTCAAGCGTTTGAACGTAGAAATTTTTGATTTCATTCGGGACTATTTAGTTGTAGCTAACATTTGGTTAATTTTTAAGTCAATCAAACTTGATGAGCTTTCTTTTGGAATGGTCCTAAATTGTGAATATTTTGATTTCATTTTAAGCTAATTTAGTATGCATTCTTTAGGTATATATGTGGATGTTTTCTATATTTTTGACTTGATGGATAGTTGTAGAGTTGGACAATTTTTACTTGATGGTGAAATTATATTCTTCATGAGTTTTGCGGTGAATGTATGCATTCTTTAAAACTACCAGTTTTCAAGTACGACAAATCATCCATATCCACCTATACCAACCAAATATTGAGTTTCATCAATCCCACAGCTCTGATTCAGCAGAAATGGTATCTGATTCCACAACTCTAATTCAGCAGAAAAGATTGTTGAAATTATTGGGTGCATTAGTTTCTGTAGCAGAAATGGTATCTGATTCATAGATAATTGGGATTATTTCGAATGATTTTAAAGAGTTCATACAATTAGATTCCTATCAAATTCCCAATAGTTTGAAGCAAATAGCCAAGATCACTCGGTCTGATGAGTTTTCTTACTCAGTGAATAGTGTCACAAAGGCTTTAACAGTGGGAATTCTGCGATGTTTTAAGTCTGAAGCTATGAAAAATGATGCTTCTATGGGTAAGAGTTCGGATTTCTCTAAGTGGGTTATGAATAAATTGTTTTTGGATTCAGGGTCTGGTTTTGCTTCTGTAATTGTAGGGAGTTTTGCAAGAAATTTGGTTATGTCATTTTATTCAGATAGACAACACAAGACAGGATTGAATCTGGATGGTTTTGTAAATTTTGATCATCTTTCAATGGAGTCAGATTATCAGTCTATTTCGAGGTGGATTGAAGTGGCTAATGAGGACAAGTATCGAGAGCTAATTGGAGATTGCATAAAATTATTTGTGAGCACTGTTGTTAGTGTTTACTTGGAGAAATCTATGCATATAAACACATATGACGAAATCTTTTCTGGATTGACTAATCCTAAGCTTGAATCTGAAGTAAAAGATTTGGTGGTAACTGTATGCAATGGTGCTGTAGAAACTTTAATACAGACTTCTCACCAAATGTGGATTAAAAGTTCCTCGAGTGCATCAGTTGTATTTCGAGGCTTGAAAAATTCAAAAGTCACTCCAACTTCTCTCGCGACTTCAGGCTTAGAGGATTGACTGATATAACAACTAGAATTTGAGCACAGAGGAGGAGCTGCTCTTAGCATGTGAACAAAGACCCCAACAACTGCATCTTCAAACCTTTTGGTAGTAAAGGATGCTTAGTACGAATCTTCTAACTTAATTTTCCTATCAAGATTCTGGCTGAAGAACAAAAGAAACCAGAATGGCGCTAGTCAAATGGCACGAGAAAAATAGTAACATAAAAAGTATGACATGTATCAACATTGAACCATTGCTACTGAGCCTATTTCCCAAGTAGAAAGTTAGTCCTGAACCTTTCATTGTAGTTGCACACTCAGTCAACAATGAAGCAAGCCATCTAGATATCCGGCAAATCATCACATGACCCACGTGAAAACAGGATAATTTTATTCATTTGAATCATGTAAAAAAGTCAATCTTATCATAATTCAGTTCTAGCGTCAAAATACCATAAGAGAATACATGATAAAAAACAAACCAACTTGAAGCTTAAAACTGATAAAGTTTTAGGCATCTCAATACCTAAAACTTTCTGACTGAAAATATAGTTCCACTCAAACCAAGAATGCCATATAAAAAAACAACATCAAATTAAGCAAACACAAATTCTTATGCTGACAAACAAGCAATGTCTCATTCCAGTACAATGAAGTCCACAGCTACCAAATGCATATATTCTCTCAAAAGCCCATTGTACAATAGCTAATACAACACGAACACAATACGAATACAACTCGTTTGACAACTACCTACTACACATGCCGTGCCGGGCCCTTTCCTTTCCCACACTCGTTCGCGTGTCCTTTTTCCTTACGAAATGTCACGGTCATTGAAATCTCAATGCCTCGTTTGTCGGTTATTCGAGCAAGAGAGTCAAACATGCTTGGCAACTCTTTGGTTTCCTCGTTTGACACAACAGTCACCGCTTTGTTAACGGTACTGGATTCGCCGCTTGATTCTTCATTTTCAACCCAGTCGAAGTACCCGCAATCCTCACTACAAGTTTTAAATAATCGCCCCTTATTATCAGCGCTCTTTGCAACCTCAAAACGCTTTTGGATTCCATGTGGACACCATGGGCATCGAATTTTTGTCAGGCAATCCTTGAAGTAATGCGTCGTGCTTCTACAACTGTGACAAACTCCAAAATTTGGCCCTCTCACCCTAAGATTAAGAACAAAACAAACTCATTACAAACACAAAATGCAAAATGCTGCAGCCTTGTGCGAAATCAAACATAATATACTCGTTTTGATTCCTGAGAGGGACAACACACTCATTGCAAACAGATAACACAATGTTATGCATCCAATTGACTCATCCCCAACTCCCTTCAATTGAAAAAATATAACTACATACATCAACAAAATCCAACATCATAGTTGATATAGGCTCACAACCATAAACCCAAATTGTTAGACCTTTGACCTACACAATGAATTTTTCTCAGTAACCTTGTGCGAACTCAAACTGAAGTTAATCACCGGAGATTCAAACTCATAAAATTACAACAAGAAATGCACTGGAAGAAATAACATGAATAAAATTATAGGAAAAAGTTACAGGAACAAATTAAGGCAGCGAAAAATTTCATACTCGAAAATGACAGCTCAAACGGGGATTGAGGCAGTGAAATTTGAGTTCGTTAAAATACTACCATGTTTGAATATAAGGCAATGAAATGGCATCTCAGACGAGGATTATGGTAGCTCAAAACATGGTGGAGATGTGACTAGGTTAAAATACTACCTTGTTCGTTCGGTGCCTTCTTTGGGGGGGGGAAAGAGTACCATGGCCAGTCGTTCAAAATAGCTCGTCGGAAGTGTCTTGTATAGTGGTCGTTCGACGATCACTGATGCGCCGATCGGAGGATGAAAGCAGAGCAAGAAAGGCGAGAAACATAGATTCATTTTGCCACAGTGAGTTAATTCACGCCTTTTTTTTTTTTTTTCCCACCAAGTCTTGCCACGTCAGCTATTTTGAAACCCGATTAAGTACTTGTGAAAGTCTTCCTGTACATGAAGACTTATTCAAACCCTAATAGATGTTTAAAATAGCAATAAAGGCTTGATTCCACCAAGCTTCGACCAACGGACGACAACTGCTCTTTTCCCTCGCTCAAAATATATTTGATCTCAAAAGTTATATGTAGGTGCACGTGTTATACTCAAAAAGACTTTAACACTTACGGGTGTAAATTTGTACGAAATCGTCTAGGTTCAAGATATTTGATACATCGAATGAACTGATGTGATAAGAAAAGACTTCATTTAAAGAAAAAGGAAGAAAATCTTGTAGAGAGCTAATTGAGTTAAAGTTGGTGTATGAGCTCCAACTACGATTAGTAAGCCAGGATAAGATCAGAGCTTCAAAACTCGTATCTCGATAGTGTTAGCCACCAAGTGTTACCGAACAAAGAGGCCCAACTTGAGCCCAGAAAAAGGCAGCTTTATGAGAGGCCGAAAGTGTTTGTTTGGGAAATTATTTGAAGTAAAAAATGATTTTTTTAGACGAAATGTTGTTAGAAAGTGCGAAAAATTTATGATTTCACGTGTAAAATTATTATAATGAAAGATTCAAAACTAGTGCCGAAAAACTAGCAAGTGCCGATTTTTCCAACCTGTTATAGACGGTGCCATCCAAAACCGTTCAAAATTGATGAGAAAGAACTCCCAACCAGGCCCTAAAACGTTTAGAAGCAGCTTGCACAAAAAATGATGCATAATGAAACTGAACGGAAATACATAAACAGGAAAAATGTAGAAATTCAAATTCAAATTCAAATTCAAGAGTAAGGAATTCTCCTACAAACATAATTCAGGTTTATCACTTAATATCTAACAACACTCTCTGCAATATTTACCTATGACACCAGTTTAATTCTTGCGGCTATAATCGGCATCTACATCACAAATTTTCACAATCTGAAAATATTACTCTTCAGCAATTTTGCTTTCTTCTCCTGGTTCTTTGAAGATGACTACAGGGAATTTCAGAGGCTTCTCTGGCCATTCTTGGAAGAACGAATTCATCACCATGAGTTTAATAACCTGAAACATATGTCTCTTATCTCTTCTAATATCAGAACTCAAAATGATGGTTAATGGAGCCGTCATCTACCACTCTCTGCCTCTTAGTTAATTGATTGTTTTGACCATGCAAATTTTTTGAATAATGATTTGCAGGCCTTTGTCTCTTAGAAAACCGGTCTTTTTGGAGGAATCTTCCCGGTTCAAAAACCGGGTTGAAGCCTTTCCCTCTTATTGAATATCATTTTATTTTCTCTTCCATCTGCTTGTTGCTCAGAATCTGATAAATAGCAAGATGGTATTTTTGCAACTTCAAGACCCAATTCAGTTTGTTTTGCCAAGATCTCCTTGAGTTGCTACAAGAAAGTTGGCATACATAGTCAAGTTCTACATTGGAAAACAAGAATATCTCAGAAGTAACAAAGGTTTTCAGATATCCTGTTGAGAGATTGGTGTTTCTTAGACAATAGTGAAAAATGACAACAATATAGGACATATGTAGTGAAAATGGATGGTAGTATCAAGCATATGAACCTGTATGCACCATATATAATGCCAGTTCATGTCAAGTAAGTGGCAAACATCCATGAGACCAGTATGAGGAAATACATGTCGTCGATACCAAGGGGACTTGTGTGCAGTAATAGAATCCACATTTTAGTTGCAAGGAACCAGTCCACATCAACCATCGTGAAACTGCGTAGGACATGTATGATTTCACTTCTACATTAACAGTCTACTCGGTTGGCCCTATAAGATAAGCTCAAAATGACAGAACACATTTAGAAAATAGTTCTCAAATAATTCACAGTTCTTACAGTCAGGTTTTAATATTCTCAACGTTTTCTGGAACACATTCATTAAGCAGATATGAAGGCTAGCCATTTATCTATCAAGCTTTGTCACTTCACACCCTCACCCACCATCATAGGCATGTTCATTCATCTTCATGCACAATATTTAAACATCAGACAAATACAAAAGCTAATCCATGGAAATATATACTCATTAGAAATCAGAAAAATTGACAGTTGGTATTCAACCTTTAGATTAATGTCACAAAAGAATTTAAACAAACTGATTTCTTCCATCATCTATTTTTCAATATACATATTGCCAGAAAACTCAATGCAAGAATGGTTGTTTTGATAGCATGCTGTGGCCTTAACATTAGTTTCTGATCATTAAAGGCAAGTCCAGATACCTGACGTCATATCTTGCAAACCACATCAGTGGCCCCCAGGTCGGTCTGATCTTTCAACTTCTGCAAATGAAGTTAATTACTAGATAATTCTTTATTCAAACCCAAATCAAGTACTACACAGTTATTGCAAACACACATACATTCTCAATCTTGGTTTGCAATGGGTGATTTTTCCTGCGTTCTTCGCACCACTGTTGAATTTCTCGTTCCGTGTAGTTCAGAGAGAGAGAGCACTTCATTTAAAAGACAAAGAAAAGGAAAACAAATAAGAATCCAATACAAGTAGACACAAAAGTGAGTGGCTGCAGAAGGCAAGGCAAGGAAAGATGCATTGATAACTAAAACAGATTCCACAGGTTTACATAAATGAAACACATAGCATGTTTGGGAAGTGTTTATAAACAGTTTAAATTATAAATAGATGGAAATGAGTGGTTGATAAATGGTAGAACTTGTGGATCCTGTGGATAAAAAGTGTCAAGAGTATTTATAAACATAAGCCACACAGGCTTATTCAAATTTCAAGCAACTGATGCTAACAGGAAGAGAGCATAGATCCACTGTTCATCCAGGTTACTGGCATCACTAAATCTAGATCAAAAGCTTCCACTATCACTACGCAACTGAAACAGCTTCTCCAACATTCATTGAATACAGCTTAACGAGAGAAAAAAGCATCAATAGATCCATGATTTGATTATACAGTATTCGGGGTAAACTAGATTCTAACTTGCATACTGAACCATTGGCATCTCTCAAGATTAATCTCTAACATAAGTAAATAACTATCGAGGCATTTAAAATTTTCAACCAAACCATGTCTTTAGTTCAATAATATTTAAAAAAAAAAAATGAAAAATACGCAAGAATTAAATTAAATAGAGATAGTCAGGGAAGAAATGAAAGTGGGTAATGGGGTTTCTTCCCCATCCAAACTTAGAGTTATCAGAAAATGAATGAGCAATAATTCTACTTTCCCCACATCTACATAAAAAAATTAAAAAAAATTAAAAAATAAAAAAAATTTCTTAAAATTATTCATACCTCTTTTCTCTGACTTGAATTTCTTCATTGGAAACAGAGAAAGCAAACATTACGTTATCATGCCCTGTTATTACACAAATAAGGGTGTTACATAACACTAGAAATATCATGAATACTGGTGATGGATGAAAAATCTCTAACATAAGTAAATAACTACGGAGGCATTTAAAATTTTCAACCAAACCATGTCTGTAGTTCAATAATATTTAAAAAAAAAAAAAAAAAAAAGGGAAAAATACGCAAGGATTAAATTAAATAGAGATAGTCAAGGAAGAAATGAAAGTGTGTAATGGGGTTTCTTCCCCATCCAAACTTAGAGTTATCAGAAAAGGAATGAGCAATAATTCTACTTTCCCCAAATCTACATAAAAATAAATAAATAAATAATTCATAAAATTATTCATACCTCTTTTCTCTGACTTGAATTTCTTCGTTGGAAACAGAGAATGCAAACATTACGTTATCATGCCTTGTTATTACACAAATAAGGGTGTTACATAACACTTGAAATATCATGAATACTGGTGATGAATGAAAAACAGGCATATCATTACTAGGAGATGTGAGTAGCTAAAAGCCAGAAAGTCATTTATATGAATGATCTAGCACCATTAACGTGTCATATACATTTATTGGTGGATAAACTTATAGTGGGCCTCCGTCAGTGAATTTCAAATTTAACTCAAATGTTGAGGCCCAAAATAAGGACACTAATAATTGTTCATAAAGAACTACTCAAATTACTGAGACCAAACCACATTCATCATCATTGAGAAAGAGAGACTTCAGAGATTAGAGACTTCAAAGAAATGATAACCTTGTAAATTTGACATGAAAATTCTAAGTTTCCCACACTGAACTGAACAAATAACATAAAAGTATCCCGAGATGCTATATATGTAATTTTACTAGCACAAAGATTTTGGCTTCAAATGGTTATACTCACGAGGTTGAAATTTTTAATTGTAATTTATAGAAGAAAGAGAAAAATAATAACACGGATACATGCTGTTCAATACGGTATTTCAAGCTTGCAAAGATAAAAACTAATTGAGGTCATATTTCTAACGAGTAACTTTGGTATGTTGAAATGTCAAGCAAGATTCAGTAAAATTGATTGCGTTCTCAAGCAAAAGTGCATGTCAGTGAATTCTGGAAGAATGTCACACATAGAAGCTCAGAAGTCAATAGGACACCATGAACACAGAGACAAGCAAGTTTTCTACTGGATATAAAATGGGTTACTAGGAAACAGACAGTCTTCTTGCAAGGTGCTTATTCATCCAAAATGTGAATAATATGGTTTAACAGAGATTCCTCGTTTATTTTCCAATCAACTTATTCATCCAAAATATGTATAATCTGGTTTAACAGAGATTCCTCGTATATTTTTCAGTAAAGTCCAGCTATGATTTTTAATTGTGCCTTCCAAATTTGCAACTCCTTGCAGTTAAGGTACAAATATCAAAGAGAAGAAAACATCTACGTTCATCTTTGTTCAACAATCAAGGCGCTCATCATTTTTTTCTTTTTATTTCTTTCAGAAATGTTCAAGTTGAATAGTCGTAAGGTTCACTTGGTTCAGTAAGCAAGCAAAATGCCTCTTCAAAATCTGCCTTCTCACTTCAAATAGTTTACCTAAAGTAAGAATTTAGCTGCTTTTGTTAGTTTTTTACAAAGGACATAGTGTAATGTGGATTCCAAATCGAAGGCAAGGGAATTACTTCCCTATTTATCACTAAATGAAATGTCCTCAATCTCACGATCGCAAGATGAACAGATAACCTATAGTTGTACATTGCGTGCTTCTTGTTGTAACCTCTTCAAAATCTGCCTTCTCACTTCAAATAGTTTACCTAAAGTAAGAATTTAGCTGCTTTTGTTAGTTTTTTACAAAGGACATAGTGTAATGTGGATTCCAAATCGAAGGCAAGGGAATTACTTCCCTATTTATCACTAAATGAAATGTCCTCAATCTCACGATCGCAAGATGAACAGATAACCTATAGTTGTACATTGCGTGCTTCTTGTTGTAACATGTTGTCACCAAATCCATGTCAGTCTTCCCGAGATAGTATGGTCATGTTCGCTATTTGTATTTTTTTACTCCATTACTGATATATTATAAATTCCTTTTCATCAGCATGCAGCTATATCTACACGCATCAGTCACTTTATTGATGCTTGCATAAATATAGACCAATAATAAGACAAAGAAACACTAAATTTAACAAATAGTAAATACCTGTGGCTTTGAAGAACCTGGAGAAAAGTTATTCGGATTCCATCCCGGTTGAGGGCAAGCATAAGTCTTCCCTAGAGGCGAGTTTGAGTTTGAATGCAGCTGCTTAGTAACATTAGGGGGCATATGCTGACTCACGTTGTTCCCGTTGACGGACTGTTGCATAACTCCATTGGCATTCACAAGACCTACTTGGCCACTCACAACAAGGTTGGTTTTCGAGGGACATCTGGACCACAACCCGACATTTGCATTTGCGGAAGCTGGTGAACGTCATTCAGTAAATTTAATTGGCTGTTAAGCAAAAACTGAGGCGGGTTCATTGCATTCTGCGCCAAAAATGAACCCAATGCTTGAGATGAGTTATTATTGTTCATTTGATAATGCGCAATTAAATTCAATTTAGGGTTCTTTTGTGATCCTTGTAGAAAAAGGGAAAAGCTGATTAGGCGCAAAACCCGTATTTTGGTTAGCAAATGGCAACGGAATCCCAGATTGAGCATTTCCTATCCCATTCCCATTCCCATTTAAAGTTGATACTGAATTTGCAGTGGGATCGGCCAAAAACTACAAGGATTCGCCACAACCTGATGATCATAACCAGCGAAGCAAAATAATAAAATCGCAGAATTAACAAAAATATAAGAGAGAGAGAGAGAGAGAGAGAGGAGGAGGAGGAAATGGTGGCATATGTCCACCAAAAATAGACATTTTTCCAAAATGTCGTTGGCTACTGTTAAAAAAAAAAATTGAAAAACTTTTAAAAATCTTAAAAACAATGAAAATCCAATGTTGTCCTTAACAAATCACACTCAAATTGAAGTCTGAAAAGGAAGAGGAAGAAATCTTGTTGGAAATAATGGTAGAAATCTTTGTAGATTATATAAAATTACTCGAAATGATATTTTTTGAGGTATTTTTCAGTTGAAATGACGATCTCTAACACCTAAATCGGAGAAGAAAGGGACGAGAGGACGGCTGGACCGTCTGTTTTCTAGACTGCCCAGTCATCAGTAAAACAGAAGGTCAGGTCATCCGTTTTTGGACTGTCTTTTCCAGACGGCAGGTGGGCCAGAAGCTTCCCTCAATTATTTTTTCGTTGTATTACATAAATAATTTAAATACAAAAAATAAATAATGAACATTTAAATAATAAATAAATGATTATTTAAATGATAAATAAAAAATATAAATAATTATTAATTATTAATAATCAAAATATGTAATTAAAATATAATTGAAATAAATTTCTAACATTTAAAATAAATAATTAAATATTTATGTTTACTTGTTTAATAAATAATTTGAATAATCAATCAATATAAATAATTAAATCAAATAGCTTAAATGAACAATTGAAACAAACAAATAAAAATAATTGAAATAAATAATTAATTTAAATGCACAAAAATAAATAATGAACATTTAAATAATAATTAAATGATTATTTAAACGAAAAAATGAAAAATGTAAAAATGAATAAGTGTTAATAATCAAAATATGTAATTAAAAATTAATTGAAATAAATTTCTAACATTTAAAATAAATAATTAAATATTTACGTTTACTTGTTCAATAAATAATTTAAATAATCAATCAATATAAATAATTAAATCAAATAATTTAAATGAACAATTGAAAAAAAATGAAAAATAATTGAAATAAATAATTAATTGAAATGCACAAAAATAAATAATAAACATTTAAATAATAATTAAATGATTATCTAAATGATAAATAAAAAATGTAAATAATGAATAAATGTTAATAATCAAAATATGTAATTAAAATTTAATTGAAATAAATTTCTAACATTTAAAATAAATAATTAAATATATACGTTTACTTGTTCAATAATAATTTAAATAATCAATCAATATAAATAATTAAATCAAATAATTTAAATGAACAATTAAAAAAATAATTGAAAAATAATTGAAATAAATAATTAATTGAAATGCATAAAAATAAATAATAAACATTTAAATAATAATTAAATGATTATCTAAATGATAAATAAAAAATGTAAATAATGAATAAACGTTAATAATCAAAATATGTAATTAAAATTTAATTGAAATAAATCTTCAAAATAATTTATTTAATTTATTTAAATAAGTAATATATTTAAATAAGAAATATAAATATTCAAAATAATTTATTTAAATAAGTAATTAAATATAAATAGTCAAAATTAATTAAATAAAGAATTGAAATAAATAATAAAGAATTAAAATAAACCATGAAATAAATAATTTTATAAAAATTAGTTTTTCGCTTTTTATAATTTGTTGTCTAATTTTGTAATTCATTTTCTTTATTATCTGTTATTTCGTGCGTATATTACTTACTGTTCGATTAGTTGAATTTTATGACATTATGTTTCAAATGTTCTAATATTTGAAATTTTACAAGAGGGATTACCATTTGGATGCGCCTTGAAACAGATTCCTAGCAAAGTTATGTCAAACTGTAACTTTGCCATCTTCACAGTAGTGTTGGATTCAATCGTTTGGATTGGCCCAACGTGCCAACCATTTTTTTAATTTTTTTTAATATTGAATTTAATTGTTTATAAATATTTCATGAATTATGTAAATTGTTTATTTAAGTAAAATAATTAATTGTTAGGAGCACGCATACCTGTTACACTGATGCTGCTTATGACGGTAACTCTAGCACAGTTAGGAAATACATTTAAGGAATACGACAATATGTTTGACAAGTTGAAGTTGGGGATGATATTTATACTAGAGAGTATATTGATGTATCATCACAAGAAGACGTCGATCGACGTCTTTCATTTGGTGACGATATCGACACATTCAACAACTATCCATGGGGACAAAGTTAATAGTTATCAGCTCTCCTCAACGATCCTGAGATACATATTATTCATTTGTGATTTATGTTGTACGTCGTTTCGAAATCTCGATGCATGGTCATTAACTCGGTGAAATGTTAATATGTCAGCTTGAAGTGCTCGTTAAGCTGACACCGTTGATCGAGGAGGAGGGTCAGAGTCATATCTGAGAAGATACAATCTGCAGGCGATAGGGGCCCTAGACAATGACAGAGAGTGGGGAAAATGGTGATAGGGAGGGTGGGGATGTACACAGATGTTTCATTAGAATCGTTATAGATGTCAGTGGAGATGGGAGAGGTGCCAGTGGTGGGGACGAAATAATTGTAATAATTGTAATAATTGAAATAATTGCTGATGGTGGTAAAGGATGGATGGAGATATAACCCCAACTTGACAGATAATATCGCGAGTTTGGATGACACCCTGTGCGAAACATATTATTAACGTGCCAGAGAAAATGGTTAGCAAGAAGACTAGATTGCAGTCACAACACATTGTTTCTCCATACACGATTGAGGCAAAGAAGAGAACATATGTTGACAGTACGTTGCTCAACCTCTTCCGTGAAATCGACTTGGGTGATTGTGAAATCTTCGCATTGAAGTTAAGGCTGTAAATGGATCGGATCTGCTTAAATTCGATTCAATCTGTTAATAATAATTATCCTATCCGATCTGATCCAATAATCCGACGGATATTTGAATGTTAAATCCATATCCGATTAACTATGCTATCGGATCTCCGATCCGAAATTGAAAAAATTAGAAAAATGAAAATTTTATTTATTTATCAGATCTAATTGACCTATATCCATATTTGATTCATTTAGTTAACGGATTATCGGATTTGAATCTCGATTGGGTTATCGGATTAAGACTCTAAATTCATCTCCCATTAATTTCATGGAATTCAGATCAAAATCCAATCTATTGATTCATTTAGTTAACGAATTATTGAATTCGAATTTCGATTGGGTTATCGGATTGAGACCCTAAATCCATCTCCCATTAATTTCATCGGATTCGAATCAAAACTCAATCCATTGACAGCCTTAATTGAAGTACATTGAATTTTTAGCATCGAATGTGGCGTAGAGCTGATAAACTAAACACACATTAAAATACAAGCGTTCTTTTATGTACATTGTGATCCGTAATTGTAATAATTTCAAATGTAAGTATTTTTTAAAAATGTTTGTAATACTTTAGCTTTTATGTAATTATATAATAAATAACTAATTACTCTTAATTACATATATAACACACTATAAATAAAGAAAATTGAGGAAATCAGTAACACACTATAAATAAGGAGTACATAGGATTTAAATAGATATTACACATCCATTTGGTAGAGAGTGACATACTATAATCAGGAACTTCTCACTTGGCTTCATTTGGTAGAGGAAATATAGTTTCAATTTTATTGAATAATGTTCGATGTATTGAAAATGTGATCGTGCCTAATGTTCGACTCTCATCTCTGTTAGATATTCTCATACACCATGTGATTTATGTTCTAATTAAATATTAAATAAATAATATACACAATCAATCAAGATAATTAATTAATGAAATATTCACGGAATAAATTAAATTAAATATTATTTTTCTATTCGAATAAGTGATTAAATAAAGTAATGAAATATTAAATAAACAATATACATAACAAATTAAGATACTTAATTGGGTAATTGGCACAAAAGGTCCCTACCTTTCAAGTTTATTGTGGAAAACGTCCCTACCTTTCATTTTTTGGCATTTTTGCCCTCATTTCAACCTTTCTTTGCGCTGGACGTCCTTTCGTCCATAGTCCGTCAGTTTTTCCGTTAAACATTCGGGTAATTGGCACAAAACGTCCCTACCTTTCAAGTCTATTGTGGAAAACGTCCATACCTTTCATTTTTTGGCATTTTTGCCCTCATTTCAACCTTTCTTTGCGCTGGACGTCCTTCCGTCCATATTCCGTCAGTTTTTCCGTTAATTAAATACAAAAATATCTTTTTCGTTCCATAAACAAGGGTAAAATTGTCCTCACCCATTTCACCCCTTTTTCCCGCCATCAACTTAGTCCATAAGTAACAGTAGCAGCGACATGAATCTGAAAATACTTTAAATGATTAAGTTAAATAAAGAAAAAATATCGTGAACACATTATATTTCACAATTCCACAACTACTGTTGCTGTCATTTTGTCACTGGAAAAATTTAGAAAGACATATTAAATGGGTAGTCAATTTATAACGAGTCAATTTAAAATGAGCCATTCATCTTCTCCATTGAGCCAAAAAGAGCCATTCACCATTTTGGCTCATTATAAATTGACTACCCATTTAATATGTCTTTCTAAAATTTTCCAGTGACACAAGATGACAGCAACAGTAGTTGTGGAATTGTGAAATATAATGTGTTCACGATATTTTTTCTTTATTTAATTTAATCATTTAAAGTATTTTCAGATTCATGTCGCTGCTACTGTTACTTATGGACTAAGTTGATGGCGGGAAAAAAGGGTGAAGTGGATGAGGACAATTTTATCCTTGTTTATGGAAAGAAAAAGGTATTTTTGTATTTAATTAACGGAAAAACTGACGGAATATGGATGGAAGGACGTCCAGCGCAAAGAAAGGTTGAAATGAGGGCAAAAATGCCAAAAAAATGAAAGGTATGGACGTTTTCCACAATAGACTTAAAAGGTAGGGACGTTTTGTGTCAATTACACTTTAATTAACGGAAAAACTAACGGAATATGGATGGAAGGACGTCCAGCGCAAAGAAAGGT